CTTCCTCATGTGAAAAGTTCATTAGATGCTACCAGTCTTTCGTCAAAATGTTGTCATGGATTTCGGGTTTCGCTTTGCGTTTCGGATTGTTAGTACTTGGTTTATTTATTTAACCAGATCTTCAATCTGTATTAAGCACTAAGGGCTTCTAGATCACATGGGTATTTTACGGGCAGGCTACGTGCGCATTCGTGAAACATAGGGGAAAAGTTGGTATAATTTGGGTTGTATTGGTTGATTTACTCTATTAAAGAAGGGTTGAATAGTAGTATGCATTTCGCTGTAAAGAGATTTGAGATAATTCTATAGATCATTTTCGTAACCTTACGGTTGTTCTATCCTAATATCGAAAACTCGTAACTTATGCCGACGACTATCGTATCATGAATACGGGTTTTGACATGGTCTTATTAACCTGTATTAAACTAAGCACTCTAAACTTCGTTTTGTCACTTGTCTTACCACGGTCTCGAGGAAGTATTACGAATTAGGACGTGGTTATTACCACGGTTTCGCGGAAGTATGACGAATCGGGACGTGGTTATAGAAAGATTCCAGGGAAGATTGACTTGTGCAACTGGGTTTCTAATAAAGTTGTTTATTATTATTATTATTACTATTACCATGGTCTCGAGGAAGCATGACGAATGGGGCGTGGTTATTATCACGGTTTCGAAGAAGCATGACGAATGGGGGCGTGGTTTGGACACGATGGACGACGACACGCGTTTGACTGTAAGATATGGAGTTTGAAAAGTAAACTATCAATATCTCTACTTTGTAATTAGTACACTGACTTTTTGATTTTAGGAAGGTTTATTTTGTAATTGTGTAATGTTGAAAAATGACTTTGTAAAGTCGAGGCCTTGTTTTCAAGTTTGACTTTGTGAATACGATCCCCCTCCATAGTCAGATACCTACCGTTGCCGTGTGAAAATAGGTCTATAGCAATATAATATATGGAGTATTTTTTACACTTTATGTTTGTGTGCATACAAAGCTATAAAAATCGATAGCTCATTCATACATTGAGAACAATGGTTGCTCACTGCTATAGTGTCACGGTGGTTTGCTTTCTATGCAGTTTAGTTTGTAACACCGAGATTTGTCACTGAATTATAGTTTTTAGTATTTAGGGATTTTAAAGAGGTTTTTAAACTATTTAATTTTATAGAGAAACAATTAGAATTTTTTATATAATTTTATTTATGATTTTAATTTTAATTTTCAATAGACTGTCAAATTGTGGAAATATATAATAATATGGAACGGAGCTAGAATTGAGAATTGTCTTCAAATCAAGGTAGGCCAACTCGTTGTCGCTACCAAAGTAAAGCTCCAATTGACCTTTAGTAGCCTTTATGCTAATATCTGGGATACATTCAAAGATGGGTTCCCTTATAATCATTTATGAAAATGAAAATGAAAATGCTAATACTTACATGAATAGAAAGTAGAGGTGTTCTAATAACTTGGAAAAATACCAGTTTGTCTCACACGTCCATAATTAATTCATATTAACTAAATTAAAAGATATTTACCAGCAGAATTCCAATGAGTGACCAATCAAGAAAGGTCAAAAAGTATTTTTTCTTTATCCAGACTGTACATACATGGACATTTATGATTGGTTAAAACTCTTAATTATATGCAATAAGAACATAATGATATGATTAATAATACATGATAATTCATTAGAAACACCAATTAATCAAATAGTGCGACATCGACATTAAAGAATAAAGAAACCCATCTTTAAGCTGCATGGGTTTACATACATACCTAGCAACCCTTCTTAGTGCAGAGAGATGTCATTATGTCAAGCAATCTAATTATGCGTTTGACATGACATGGTTTTGTATGTTCTGGTTCCATTCCACATTTATTCTACTGTCCTAATTCCGCCTTATCCAGATAGCCTAATTATTTAAAACAGAGCCGCAACTACATCTAGGCAAATGAGGCAAAAATGAAAAAATTGCAAACGTTATGTACACTTATTTGATGTCTATGGTAAAGGTGGATACCGTTTGAAGTCTACCAAAAGGGTTGCGATGAACGACAACAGGACGTTTGCCGCATAGTAAAAAGATCCTAGTCACGGCCCTGTATTAGCTAGGACCTTTGTGAAATTAGCAAACCTTAATATCAAGTGAGTATTATTGCCGTGTAGTGTGTGTGAAATTAATATCGATATTGACTAATTCATAGAAAGGCATCATGTTAAAAAAAATATTAAATCGTATTGGTGTTTTAATACGCCCACATTATAATGTGGTCGTAAATTGTCGCCGCCCTTGTCCGTCCGTCGGTCCGTCCACAATTGGCTTGTGAACACTATAGAGACTAGTTTTCAACTGATTTTAATGAAATTCGGTGTGATCATTTATATTGATAAGATTTTGGACAAGATCTTTCGATGAACGGTTTTTGAGTTATTGGCCTTGACTTCGGAAAAATGGGTCAAAATTTGTTTGTTAACACAATAGAAACTACAGTTTTTATCTGAATAAAAACTTGTTATGACCATATTGATGTGACCATGGATAGGGATGAATTCGGTTTTTGAGTTATTGCCCTTGGCTTAGTAAAACGCAACGCAATAGAGGTGACAGTTAATGTCAGAATTTTATGAAATTGTGTTTCGATTTAAATCAACAATGTACGATTTGAATCAGATTGGCGACAGCCCTTTATAAACTGAAAATTTATCAGGGAAGTGGGCGTATGTAGCCAAGCAACCACTTGTTCTTGAAATATGAGACCTATATTTTCCAGGTATTAGCAGCACAAAAGTTATGGACAAGTTCACAAAAAGATCCGAGATCCGAGATATGGATACGAGCAATTCAGCGAATCCGGGTCCAGCTGCATTCTATCGTCGACATCTGCAATCTAAAACAGATCAAAAGGATTCTCACCAAGTAATTTCTGAACCTCTATCACGGCAACCAGAAATTCGCCATTCCATACCACCTGAATCATCTTGTCAGGACCAAACAAATAGCAATTCTGTGATCCCGGGTCTTGGTTTAAACTATCGTCAATGGTTAACTTCAAAATTCCCTAAACAAAGCACGATTAATCCACAAATAATCCAAGACAAATCAATCCCAAGTAAAATGCATCTATCAAATCATTTTCAAAAAAATATAAAACCAAGTTGCAGCTTTTATGTTGTGCTGCTGGGAGGCGAGATGTCAATGCCTTTGGTTACCCTTTTGCATATTCTTTTAGGTCCTGATATTTCACGCACCTTCCTATCTAATAAAGAGGAACCTATCTTGGACCTTGAAAGCATGACCATAAATTTTTCCGACGTCCAGAAAGCTGATCAAGCGTTAAAGAAACTTCGAGAGTTCAACTTTCAAAATCTTCTTTGCACTTGGACTCCTGCGGATAAGCGTATAGAAATTTTGAAGAAATATTTTAAGGACCTCGAATTCCAATCTTCTGAGGTTTCGCAAACTCACGATGAAAAAATCCGCAATATCAGAAAACAGCTTGAAAGTTGTGACATTGATGAAAAGGAAGCCTTGAAGACGAGGAAAGAGGAGCTAGTACGACAGCTTCGGGAATTCACAAGTTTTTCAAAAACGGTTCGGGAATCTCTTCGCCGATCTATTCTGTTGGAGGAGGATCTTAAGTTTCAGTCCGAGGTAGAGAAACAGATCCATGGTTTTGGCGTGGAGTGCAGCCGACTGAGAATGGCGTTACCAATCTACGCTCGAAAATCTTATATTCTAGACGTTATTCGTCAACACCAGGTGGTCATAGTCCGTGGTGAGACTGGTTCTGGAAAGAGCACACAGTTGGTCCAATATTTACACCAATGCGGACAATACACCGAGGGGCTCATTGTTTGTTCCCAACCTAGAAAGATAGCATGTGTCAGCTTAGCTGAACGTGTCGCATATGAATTGGTTACCGAGGTGGGTCAGATTGTCAGATCAAAAACGGGAATGAGGACAAAAACTTCGGTTCAGACTAAAATAGTTTATACCACCCATCACACACTGCTTAATGAGTGTCTGAATGATCCAATGTTCCGGCGGTACTCTTGCTTGATGATCGACGAGGTCCATGAACGCAGCATCTATACCGATATATTATTGAGTATACTGAAGAACTGCTTGCCCAAAAGACCAAGTTTAAAAGTTGTCATTGCATCTGCTACTATTGATGTCCAGTTATTCAAAGATTATTTCATCGACGCACCAGTAATTGAAGTTTCCGGTAGAGCATTTCCGGTAGAGATAATCTGGCAACCCAAGTATCATCAATGGACGGATCCGGTTCAAGAAGTCGTTTCGAAGGCTATCGAGGTTCATGCTTCGGAAGGTCCCGGAGACATCCTGGCGTTCGTTACATCTCAAATAGAAACGGAAAAGTGTAAAGATGAGTTTGAGGACAGGATGAAGAACAAATTCAACTTCAAGTGTCTGATGCTTCATGGTCAACTTCCTTCTGAGGAACAAGCTCTAATCTTCAAACCAACTAGAGAGGGTCATAGAAAGATTATTTTTAGTACCAATTCGGCAGAGACGTCTTTGACCATTCCTGGCATTAAGTTTGTCATAGATTCCGGTTTAGTGAAAGAGATGCAGTTTGATGCCAGGAAGAAAATGAATACGTTAGTGGTTGTTCCGGTCAGTCGGAGCTCAGCGGACCAAAGGAAGGGTAGAGCAGGACGGGTATCTCCGGGGAAATGCTTTCGGTTGTATACAGAATCCCATTACCATCAAATGAAACCGACAAGCACTCCAGAAATCCTCCGAATTCATTTGTCCCAAACGTTATTAATGCTGTATGAAATGAACTTAAAACCGTCCGATTGTGAGTTTGTAGATTCGCCACCTCATGCAGCGATCCAAACAGCGATTGAGGCCCTGGAAGAACTCGGATGCATCAAAGATGATAAGATCACCTACACTGGGAAATGGTTGGTGAAGATTCCCCTCGAGCCTCGATTTGGTTGTATGATTAAAAAGGGATTTGAAATGGGGTTCGTCTACGATACCATCGTATTTACTGCTTTATGTAGTTATTCGGGATCCATATTCAATCGAGGCAGCAATGATCAGCAAATGAAACGAAGCGATTTGAAGAAGCTGACATTTTGTGACCCTAGGGGTGATGCTATTAGTTATTTAAAAATCTACAAGGAATGGGAGCAAGTACCTGAAGGACAGAAAAAAAAATGGTGCGTTGATAATGCCCTTAACTCCAAATCACTTCAAGGAGCCTGTGAATTGGTGGACGAGATATGTTCTATTTTTAAACTTAACTGGTCCACCGTCGTCAAGAAAACTTTTTCTACCAAAGTGGAACTTGAAGAAGCTCTCCAGAAACTTATCCTGTTTGCCTTTTACGAGAATATTGTCCATTCTCTAGGCCACGCAAGGATGGGTTACTACATTCCAAGCTTACGGCAGAGAGTCTTTATCCATCCGTCGTCTGCCCTGAACTCTTTGAACGATTCGAGTCAGTGGTTGGTGTTTATAAACATGCTGAAAACTTCAAGAGACTATATAACCGTTGTGACTCCTGTTGAGGAATCCTGGATTCGGAGGATTACCTCTTTAAAGACCAAACAATTTGATATCGACGAAGCCAAGAGAAAATCAGTGTGCTCAGTTCGTAATGAATTTTTCGGTTCCACAACATACTCATTCTTTGTTGGTCCTGCATACACGAAGCTTAGAGCTTATGAAAATTTACTATACGAATCGGTACAAGTCCCTGTGGTCATAGAAGCTGATCAAAAAACTGGGGAAGTCAAATTCATCTGTGCATTTAATGCAACGCTACCTGGTGATCTGATAGACGACTGGGTTAAAGAAGCTAGAAGTCACGTGATACAAAGGACTGTTGAATATAAAGTAGGTTCGAACAAACAGGCTGGTGGAGTTCGAATCGTCCTTGGTTTAGGTGGTGAAGGTCAGTTAATTCTAATGCCTGACGAATATCGAAATGTCCACATCAAATCTTGGGACAAGGAAACTAGTAGGGAGACGGTGGTGGACAAGTTCAAAAGATTTGGACAGATTGTAGGCTGTTTGGAGGACAAACGATCTTACCATAGATGGGGTAGAGTAACGTTTTCTACACCCGAAGCTGCTGCGGAAGCCGTAAGAATAACACAAGATGATCCAAAAGACGCAGCTGAACCAGAATTCAAGTTTCACATACATGCCTCCTTTCAATATCAAGCAACTATTGAGTGGATGAGACGGAAGCCAACTGGGCTGGTTTTTGTGGAAATGGATTTTTTGGAGGCGATGTCGGTAAAGTCACTGCACGAAGTTCAAATATTGGGTCAATCATGCAACATCACTATAGATAAGAAGAAGCGCAGCACCGTGCTTTTTCATAATGTGCCAACGATGGTAACAGAACAGGACATTCGTGATTGCTTGCCAAACGATTCCCAAAGGAGAGCTATAACTAAGATCAATATCATAAGAGAGAAAACCTTTACGAATCCAAACGAACTTCCAAACTTCCAACAACAGATACACGACCAGTTTCAAGAATTCGACCAGGATATGAAATTTGTTGTGGATGTCCTGACACCGAGTGATATCCACACCAACTTTAGAGCGTTCATAAAGTTCAACGATGCTTCTCAAGGCACAATGGCGTGTGATGCTCTACGAGGAAGATTGACGATCAATGGTCAAAAAGCAAATATAACACCAATACTATCGACTTCTCTCTCAGTTCCGGAAAGAGTCTACCAATTACTTGAAGACAAAATTGAAGATTTTGTAGCCGAATTAAAAGCAAGTGGCACCGAGTTCAAGCTAGACAGTAAGAAATTGAAGAACGACAGACGAGTGCTTAGCATATCAGCTTCGAATTCGAATGATCTCGTGCAGATCCGAATGAGATTGGCAGCCATAACACAAGGGGAGGTAATTGACTATTGGCGGAACGAAAACAACCGTTATCTATTTCTGAAGTCAGGTTGCGAATTCCTCCGACGTTTGGAGAAGAGGACCAGTACCATTCTTCAACTGGACAACAGGCTGCTCAGTCTGAGAGTTTTTGGAATAAAAGATAACGTAAAAATGGCACTATGATTTAGAATTGGAAGGTTTTGTACAGGCATCTGGACTGAAGTCTGCATTGCTGAACCGCAATAATCAAACGTTGAAGATTTCTGGTGATTCAGCAAGTATAGAAAAAGCGACTGGATTGATCGAGTTATTGGCTGCGGAACTGAGGAATAAAATCACCAGGTCAGAAAGTGAGGAGTTGCCAGAATGTTGCACTTGTCTATCTCCGGTTGAAAGTATGGAAGATATGTACCGACTAGAAGCTTGTGGGCATGCGTACTGTTTGGTTTGTATCAATCATCAAATAACTGTGGCTGTTCAAAACAAAGAGTTACCGGCCTTGTGTGGTAAATGTCAAGACCCACTTGTTTGGTCAGATTTTCTATTTTGCTTCAAACGACTACAAATCAACCCTTTAGACTTGGTGAGATCAGCCGTGTCATTGTACATGATTAGAAACATAGATGGCTACCGACATTGCCTAACACCTGACTGTCCAATGGTTTATCGTATTACTAAAACATCCGATATTTTCAACTGTAACGAATGCGGCTTGAAGATTTGCACGTATTGCCATGTTGAAGATCACGATGGATTGACATGTGCTATGATTAAGAGTTCCAAAGAAGCTAACTCAGACATGGAGAAATATTTGAGAGAAAATGCAACAAAGGTGAAGAAATGTCCTAAGTGTTCTATCCCAATTGAGAAAGAATACGGATGTAATCATATGATCTGTGAGGCATGTAAAATCCATTTCTGTTGGCTTTGCTGTGAGGTTTTTACTACAGAACAGTCTACGTATGATCATTTGAATGCACAACACGGCGGGGTATTTGAATACTGAAATAATAATTGCCACAAAAAAAAAGAAGAAAAAAACAGGAAATTATTTTGTTTGAATTAACAATATTGAATATATTTGAATTAATTATATTGAATATATTTGAATTAACTATATTGAATATGTTTGAATTAACTATATTGAATATATTTGAATTAACTATATTGAATATGTTTGAATTAACTATATTGAATATATTTGAATTAACTATATTGAATATGTTTGAATTAACTATATTGAATACGTTTGAATTAACTATATTGAATATGTTTGAATTAACTATATTTAATATATTTGAATTAACTATATTGAATATGTTTGACTTAACTATATTGAATATATTTGAATGAACTATATTGAATATATTTGAATTAACTATATTGAATATGTTTGAATTAACTATATTGAATCTGTTTGAATTAACAATATTGAATCTGTTTGAATTAACAATATTGAATATGTTTGAATTAACTATATTGAATATATTTGAATTAACTATATTGAATATGTTTGAATTAACTATATTGAATATGTTTGAATTAACAATATTGAATATGTTTGAATTAACTATATTGAATATATTTGAATTAACAATATTGAATCTGTTTGAACTAACAATATTGAATATATTTGAATTAACTATATTGAATATGTTTGAATTAACTATATTGAATATGTTTGAATTAACTATATTGAATATATTTGAATTAACAATATTGAATCTGTTTGAATTAACTATATTGAATATATTTGAATTAACTATATAGAATACTTGAATTAACTATATCGAATATAATTTGTACATGACATCTAGAATAAGGTAGAACATTAAATAAATATGGATTATTATGGATATCTGTTATATTAGTATTTGCTTCGGTGTCTGTGCTGAATTTACGCGACCAATGATTAAAGAAACGTGTACTAAGAATGGTGAAACCCAATAAAGTGGGGGAAAAGATAATCCCTGTCAACCAAGGTGGCTTAAATTAATGTCTTGCAGATAAACAGCGTACAGTTCTCGTGGGTGTAGCGTGTACATGTTTATAAAAGATTCTTTTTTAGCATGTTGAAACAAAGAGTACACTCATAAAAAAGGTGTGTTACTGTTCATACACCCCGGGAGATATTGGAAATGTGGCTAGGGGACAACCAATAAATAAAAAACTTGCTTCAGATACAAATAATATTATCTATGGTACCCTGTATAAAATTTAGACAGTTTTATATTATATTTATCCCACCCTGCATTTAAAGGTATACTATCTCTTAGGAAAAAATTTAAACTTGGCAAAAATGAGAATTTGTTCATCGGTGGACTTACCTGGTGTCAAAACTATATGACATAAGAAGCTACGCATGGTTCTTACATGGAAATAACACACACGAACGCATAGCCATTTGAATCTCTACCTCGACTTATGGCAGTTGCCATTCTGATGGATTGACTTCAGTCTTTAATAGATGTAAATAGTCTTCAGAAGTACTGGAAATTTACGAAAATCACAATAACTCCAAACTAGGTATTGTACGCACTTTTTCGAAATATGTCTTTTCTATATATCACAGAGTATCTTATCTTGACTATTCGTCATTTTAACATTCAATGGGGTAGGGGGGAGGTGGTGTAACATCCCCGTTACGTTTTCTAAACAGATATTAAAGGGACGGGTGAGCCAGTATTTTTTACCAATCATACTTTTGTCTCAGTAGCGGGAATTCTTCAGCTAGGCCAATCAGTAATAGTGTTCACAGCTAACCGTCGAAATCTGAGCGTTCAAATCCATGTGTGCACTAAGTTATTCGAGTTTGAATGTTAAAATGACGACTCGTCAATTTAAGATACTCTGTGATATATAGAAAAAAGACATATATATGTAAATACTTTGTACTTCAGAAGACTTTTTACATATTTTCAAGACTCAAATCAACCCCCTAAAATGGCGCATTCTATGTTATCATAATGGATTAACCTACGGCTATATGTAGACTATTAGGACCATATTGTGACTCAGAATTCAGTCAATATCATAAACTATAGTCTAGGCTAATCTATAAATCTTTTCTAATCCGTAATTTACTCCAACACCAAATATAGCCCCTATTTACCCAGCTCCTCTTTGTCTAAGTAAAGCTTGGGCGAAAGACGGATTGCAAAAGACGACCTGAATTGGTTGCTTAAAATCTTTGTAATTCACAGAGTCTACAGTGGCTATTGAATCTGAATGGTTGATTAATTAAAATAATTCCGTTATTATGATAATGTCTTTGAATTTGTTATTATTTGCTCGAGAAATCGATAATTATAACATCCGTGGAAAAATACAAACTGACAAAACTTTTGGTGGTTGCCTATTTGATTCGTTTGCTGATTTGTTGATCTTAATGCTTAATTGTTGTTATCTCCCTTGAAAACTCCAAAGACTCTGTAAATCTTATCCAATCCGTAAAATGGTAGCAGAAATCTATGCCTTAAGTCTAAAGTCCATCCGTAAACTATTTCACTTCCTGTTTAGTTTTGTTTTACATAAGTCACCTTTTTACCGGATTAAAGTTATTATTTGTCATGGTTAAATCTTTCAAAAACAAGAATTCACACCAATGTGATGTATGTGAAAAATCTTTTATCAAGGCAAGTGTTCTTAAAGCTCACATGAGAGTCCATACTAGAGAGAAACCTTTCAAATGTGATGTTTGTAAAAAGTGTTTTACACAGGCATGTACACTCAATGTTCACAAGAGAATTCATACTGGAGAGAAACCTTACCAATGTGATGTTTGTAAAAAGTGTTTTACTACGTCATGTAAACTTAAACATCACACTAAAGTTCATACTGGAGAGAAACCTTATAAATGTGAAGTTTGTGAAAAATGTTTTACCATGAAAGACAATCTTAAAGTTCACATGAGAACACATACTGGAGAGAAACCTTATAAATGTGATATTTGTAAAAGAGATTTTGCCGTCGCAAATTATCTATATGTTCACATGAAAACACATACTGGAGAAAAACCTTATAAATGTGATGTTTGTAGAAAAAGGTTTTCTATTGCATATTTACTTAAAGTTCACAAGAGAATACATGAAGATGTAAAGCCTTACCAATGTGAAGTTTGTGAAAAGTATTTTACTGTACACAGTTCACTTAAAGTTCACAGGAGAACACATGCTGGAGAGAAACCTTACCAATGTGATGTTTGTACAATTTTTTTTACCAGGAAAACCAATCTTAAAGTTCACATGAGAATACATACTGGAGAGAAACCATATAAATGTGAAGTTTGCGACACGCACTTTTCTCAGACAAGCAGTCTAAATATACACATGAGAATTCATACTGGAGAGAAACCTTACCAATGTAATGTTTGTAAAAAGCGTTTTTCCCGATCAAACGATCTTAATATTCATATGAGAAAACATACTGGAGTAAAACCATACCAATGTGATGTTTGTAATAAATGGTTTTCATGGAAAGCATCGTTGGACAATCACATGAGATTTCATACTGGAGAAAAACCTTTCAAATGTGATGTTTGTAGAAAGTGTTTTACTTTGAAATCATCACTCAAGTACCACTTGAGGAAACATACTGGAGAAAAGCCATACAAATGTGATGTTTGTAAAAAATGTTTTACTAGAGTACAAAGTCTTAATGTTCATTTCAAAATTCATACTGGAGAGAAACCTTATAAATGTGATGTTTGTAAGAAGTGTTTTACCTGGAAAACGTCGTTTAATTATCACAAGAGAACTAAATCTGAATGTAAAAACTGAGAGGATTGATGGAGCAAGCATAATTTACTATATCAAGATAAATTTAGATAAAACAGAATAACAAATAAATATGCTTATTGTATGTAGATGTAAATATTTTCTGTTGGTTGAATCATACTGTTCGTCCTTTTTAACTTTTTTCTAATTTGATCATAAATAGAACATGTTGTTTTTCTCAATTATAGTGGAACACATTGGATTTCTCTTCACCCTTGTAGCATTCTCTCTCAAACATATCCGGGTCAACTTCACCTGAACTCTTCAATGTGGCGAATCTGTCTCTTTAATAGCCTGTTATATTATCTACATCAACACGTTAGTTAATGTTAATATATATTACAATACAGTTGTGATTCTTTGATGTTCGAGTTCTGATAATCAACAAATTGCTAAGGTAATACACACAAGCTATTAATAATTCAAATATAATACTGTAACACTCTACAATTGATGTATTGAGCACTATTTTAACAGTGGTATTTCTATATCACTCTACAATTGATGTATTGAGCACTATTTTAACAGTGGTATTTCTATATCACTCTACAATTGATGTATTGAGCACTATTTTAACAGTGGTATTTCTATATCGCTCTTCAATTGATGTATTGAGCACTATTTTAACAGTGGTATTTCTATATCGCTCTACAATCGATGTATTGAGCAATATTTTAACAGTGGTATTTCTATATCGCTCTTCAATTGATGTATTGAGCATTATTTTAACAGTGGTATTTCTATATCGCTCTTCAATTGATGTATTGAGCATTATTTTAACAGTGGTATTTCTATATCACTCTACAATTGATGTATTGAGCAATATTTTAACAGTGGTATTTCCATATCGCTCTTCAATTGATGTATTGAGCATTATTTTAACAGTGGTATTTCTATATCTCTCTACAATTGATGTATTGAGCACTATTTTAACAGTGGTATTTCTATATCTCTCTACAATTGATGTATTGAGCACTATTTTAACAGTGGTATTTCTATATCTCTCTACAATTGATGTATTGAGCACTATTTTAACAGTGGTATTTCTATATCTCTCTACAATTGATGTATTGAGCACTATTTTAACAGTTGTATTTCTATATCACTCTACAATTGATGTATTGAGCACTATTTTAACAGTGGTATTACTATATCACTCTACAATTGATGTATTGAGCATTATTTTAATAGTGGTATTTCTAAATTGCTCTATCTATCTCTTCTATATTTCTATATCGGTATAAAATGGAGGGTAGTTACATCAATAGGGATTGTTACCACAATATGGGTAGTAACTTCAATATGGGTAGTAACTTCAATATGGGTAGTAACTTCAATATGGGTAGTAACATCAATATGGGTAGTAACTTCAATATGGGTAGTAACTTCAATATGGGTTGATATCAGAATAAAATCTGTTACCAATGTTGGGCTTGCTACCAAGGTTGATTAGGAATACATGTAAATAGTCTTCAGAAGTACCAGAACTGTACGAAATTCGCATAATTCCTTCAAAAGTATCTCAATCCAGGAACTTTTGATTGTTTTCCTTCACTAAATGATCCCCTGTCTGAAATTACTCGGAAATTGTTGATAAGGTCTATGACAGGAAATACGGTATAATATAAGTTTTGATTATCCAGTTCTTAATCGTTATACATTATGGTAGTGTCTTAAAAACGAAGCTGTGCAGAAAAGTAGGACGTAAAACTCCATTCATTTCATTTAAATACAAAGCTAACAAAACTTTGACACCACTATTAAAAGTAACACCATTGTGACATATTTGGTAGAAAATAGTCAAACATGAATTGATCTGATTGTATCTCACGATTTTTACCATTGTGGTCGAATGCGAAGCAGACCATGCTTACTCTTTTCGAAACACCTGATGGGACTTCTCTTTGGAGTCAATTCTACACAACTTTTACTCTCGATTTTGCATGATACGACGTGGAAGTATCGAGATGTAGATGTCCGTAAACCCAAGTTAGCTGCGTACTTGTAGGTTAATTCGAGTTCTCTCCCTTTAACTATGGATTCGGTTTGTGTTTGTACGTGGAGAAGCGTGGAAACAAGTGAGTTGCCGACAGGGAGACAACACGTGTACAGTACTGCGGGAGATCCAGTAACATACATATAGGTGTTGGTAAGACCCAAATTCAGGGAATTCTGAAGCGTAAAGCAGAAATTATGGAGGATTTTGAAAGCAATGTTTCTTTGAAATTGAAAATTAAGTAACCGACAAACTTCTATACAAGATTTCCTAATTAAAAAAATGTAGATTATATCTATAATGTTATATTGTTATTTTGTATATTTCTAATACATAGAAATGAATGAAATTGTTTCAGCCGACTCAATTCTCTCATAAGAGACCACCTCCAGTAAGAGACCGTTTTTGAATTTTCCCCTGCGTGGTCTCTTAATACAGTTTTTACTGAACAAAGTACACCCAATTACATACAAAGGAGATCTCATAGCATACAAAGGAGTTCCGATAATATACCAAGAGATCCCTAAACATACAAGGGCGACCCACTAACATACGAAGGAGATCACATAACATACAAAGGAGATCTCATATCATACAAAGGAGAGCCCTTTAAGGGGTTAATCTTTCAATTTATATAAAATTTCTGTTAGTTTCGCAATTTTAAACAAATCAAAATGAAGGGAGGTAAATCAGGATAATGCTCAAATAACATACAGACTACGACTAATTATTCGGACATAACTGGAACGTTACAATGCAAACCAGATATCTTTAGCCTTTGGTAGGGGAGAAAGAGTAGATGAACGGTGCCAAATAATCACTCACTTGGTATCTCTGAAATATATTCATTTATATTTATTCATTTCATTCCATAAAATAACTATTGTCATGCAGGGGTGTTGACTGGTCTATTTCATGTTTTAATAATATAGAATAATTATATGAAAAACTGATTTCTTGGCAATGGTTGTGCATTTTATAAAGATTTTGAGTCCTTCCCTTTAGTTTAAAGTTTAAAGATTCTATGTCCTTAAAAATGTTTAATATTTTGACAGCCCTTCAAACATGTCATATTAAACGGATCTTTGCTACTAGAGTTATATTTTTTGTGGTAAAATACGTTACTAGCCGGGAAAACGAATACGACAAAATTTTGTAGCGTAAAATAAAAATTGAATCCGCCCTTAGGCTGTAAAAAATCTTTTTTAAAATTAATTGACGTCTGGTAAGAAAAAAAAAATATATTTTTCTATGTAATTAACTTTTTTAAAATAAAAAAAAACATGTGAATGACGAATGAAAATTGTATTTTGTACAAAATGAAAAGTGTTAATAAGATGTTTACTGAAACGAAGTAACATTTAATCACATGTCAACTTTTCTATAATAATCTTTCGTTTCTTTATACACTTCCGTCTTCAGTTATAAAGGTCAACAATTTTAACCTTAGTTTTTTAATTAGTATGGGCGATGTTTGTTTTGTTAAGGTTGAGTTTCGTGAAGAATGATTTAGCCAATATTTATTCATAATTTACAAATAATACATGTGTAATATTTATAATAAAACACTAATATATAAACTTTATTTGGCACTAGGGGACTACACAATGTGGATATGAAATTACATAATTGAATAATGAATAAAGGAAGTTTGAAACTCTTGTGAACGGATGATATAAGCAAAAAAGAACATCTCATTAATAAAATGAAATTTAAACCCCCACTACTTTGGGGTAGAATAGTAGAATGAAATTATACTATAAAAGGCAGTCCCCAATATAAAAAAAAAAGAAATGGTGAGAGGTGGAGAGGAGGTGGTTAATCAAAGAAGCAGCCTGTAGTCAAGATGGCAGAAGACAAGACTGACTACCTGACTATTTGCGCGCGATTAGCAGACGATGCAATGTAGCAGCCTGTAGTCAAGATGGCAGAAGACAAGACGGACCACGTGACTATTTGCGCGCGATTAGCAGACGATGCAGTGTAGCAGCCTGTAGTCAAGATGGCAGAAGACAAGACTGACCACGTGACTATTTGCGCGCGATTAGCAGACGATGCAATGTAGCAGCCTGTAGTCAAGATGGCAGAAGACAAGACGGACCACGTGACTATTTGCGCGCGATTAGCAGACGATGCAGTGTAGCAGCCTGTAGTCAAGATGGCAGAAGACAAGACTGACCACGTGACTATTTGCGCGCGATTAGCAGACGATGCAATGTAGCAGCCTGTAGTCAAGATGGCAGAAGACAAGACACACCACGTGACTATTTGCGCGCGATTAGCAGACGATGCAGTGTAGCAGCCTGTAGTCAAGATGGCAGAAGACAAGACGGACCACGTGACTATTTGCGCGCGATTAGCAGACGATGCAATGTACCAGCCTGTAGTCAAGATGGCAGAAGACAAGACTGACCACGTGACTATTTGCGCGTGATTAGCAGACGATGCTATTGCCGTGTAAGTTATAAACCACTCCTATATACATAGGATTCAATATAAACGTTGGTTTCAGAAACAATCTGAGGCAAATACAATACAAAATACAAAAATGTTCTTTACGTGTGCCTATTAAGCTTTCGTAAAATTCATCGGTTGAATAAAAAAAAAAAAAAAAAGATAAACATCATAAGCTATTTTTCTATTTACAAAACAAACCTTTATGTAAAAGCGTGCTGATTGGCTACTTTTTCACATGACATGAATATTTATTACCTTAGTCCATATACGAAATATACATACTAAAGTGAAACAAGGTAGAATATATAGTATAGTCTGTGGTATCAGCAAAAATCCGTTCGATCAAATCAATTCAACATATATTACGCTAGAAGCGGATGTTAACTTAAAATCAACAAACCATCTGAATTATTCAGAAATGATGAATTAGTAAAAATATACGGAAGAGATATTTTAATAAATCTAAAAGCATGTTTTACTATAATCTTGTGGCTTAAGTTGACAGTTGTAACTCGCATACATTGTATGACAAATAGTCACGGCCGTCATA